TTTTTTTTTTTTTTTTTTGGTTTTTCGAGACAGGGTTTCTCTGTGTAAACCTGGCTGTCCTGGAACTCACTCTGTAGACCAGGCTGGCCTTGAACTCAGAAATTCGCCTGTCTCTGCCTCCCAAGTGCTGGGATTAAAGGCGTGCGCCACCACTGCCCGGCTGTTAATGAGTTCTTAATTCAATAGCCCTACTAAGAGGTGCCAGAGGCTTGGGAGGTAGTCTAGTGGGAGGAAGTTGTCCATTGTTAGTGTTTTGGAACTGGAAAGAAGGCTCATTAGTTAGTTAAAAACTTGTTGCTCTTGCAGAGGACTCAAGTTAGATTCCCAGTATCTACATGGTGTGTCACAACTGTCTGTAACTCCAGTTTCAGGGGATCAGTCATCCTCTTCTGGATTCCCAAGTATTAGGCATATATATGGTGCACTTAAATGCATCCAAGCAAAACACTCAAACACAGAAAGTAAATATTTTAAAGGAGAAGGGGAGGGGGAGGAGGTAGTCCACCTGTGAAGTGGGCACCTCTGCTGCATTTCATCTTTCACATGACATTCTCCTGCACTATCTTTAAGTTCCTACTGTTTCTACTGAGTATGTTTTGTTTTTGTTGGTTTGTTTATTGAGACAGTTAGCCTTAGCTGTTCTCAAACTTATTCTGTAGACCAGGTTGCCCTGGAACTCAGAGGTCCAGCTGCCTCAGCTTCTCAAGTGCTGAGATTAAAGGTGTGTGTCACCACCTGGCCTCTACAGCAATGAAAGCTGCCTCTACAGCAATAAAAGCTAACACAGAAAAGCTCAAGGATTTTTTGTTCTGCTGTGTCTCCCTTACCAAGACACACTTTATCTATTTGTGTGACACATAGACCTCATGTATCCCAGACTGGCCTTGAGTTTGAGGCTAAACTTGAACTCTGAACCTTCTACCTTCACCTCCAGAGTGCTAGGATTATAACCATATACCATATAACCATATCCCACTGTTTAGGCAGTGCTGGGATCAAACCCAGGCTTTGTGCATATAAGGCAAGTGCTCTACCAGGTGACGTATATGCATAGCCCAACTCCCCCCATTTTTATTTTGTGTGTATGTGTGCTTGTCCTTTAAGATAGAGTTGCGTTGCATCCAAAACTAGCCTGGAATTCACTATGTATCCCAGGCTGACCTTCAACTTACAGTAACTCTCCTGCCTCAGTCTCCTGAGTGCTTGGATTACAGGTGTGTGCTACCATGCCTGGTTGACACTTTATAACTTTTTTAGAGGTTGTGATTGGATCTGTGCAGTAGCAACTTGTGCATATGAAACATGGGTCCTTTACGTGGTGCTCCATCTATAGTGATGGGTGTGCTGCCACGTCTAGGACACAATGAACTCAAGTAGCAAAAGTGACAACTTGGTTGGTACAGCTTCAGCCCATGCTCTGATGCTAGTTGGTTTCACTAGAGAATGAACCCTCACTATGGCCAATCTACGATTAACCCAGATGGTTCTACCAGGTTTTTTTTTTTTCCATGCATGCTTCATGTTTCCAAAAAGGGAAATCTTTAACTCGCAAGTCTGTAGTTTTCCAAATGGCAGAGAAAGTGGGCAGGCTAGTGTCAACAGTCCAAGTCAGTGCTATGAGAACAGCTTTGAGTTCTGTCCACTGAGTGGAGAAAACACATCCATTTTCCAGTCCACATGTCTAGTGTGGATGCTACCACAGCAGCCCTCAGAAGCAGAGTTGGTTTCAGCTTAGCAAACATCAGTGAGCCAGGGTCTGGCATATAAAGGAACCTCTGTGAACTGGGAGCTTCATGAGACAGTGGCTTTGCTTTGGACTGTGAAGCAGAAGATAAATTTTACCAAAGGGACAACTGCCATCCTTCCTCCAGTCCCCACACCTACAGAGCTGAATGTCCGGCCAGTGTACTGCAAAGCACTGTAATATTGTGTGACATGATAGGCTGGTTGGGCCCTTCACATATCACTAGATGTTGAATCAGCTAGCCTACCCCAAAAGGGGAATATCTGTCATGAAGCCTTAGCAGTACAAGTTGGGACACTTTGTCAAGTGTTTTGTTTTTAATAACTATTTATTTATCCATATATGGGTGTGCATATGCCATGGCACATGCGTGGAGGTTTGAGACAGAACCACACAACTGGTTCTTTCTCTTTCTACCATGTAGATAGGTCCCAGAGATTAAACTTAGGCTTGAAACTAGGCAACAGGTACCTTTTCCCACTGAAGCACATTAGTACCCTGACCCCACATGTTAAATTTTAATGAGAAACTAGAAGCAATCTTGAAAGAGTTATTTCCAAAAGGGTTGTGTCAGCTGGGTGTGGTGGTACATGCCTCTAATGCCAGCATTTTGAAGCAAAGTGAGGATGATCAGGAGTTCAAGGCCAGCTTCTACTACATAGCAAGTTCAAAGCAGGTCTGAGCTCCAAGAAATCCTGTTTCAAAAGACAAAGAAAACAAAAGAGGTACTTCTTATTCCCATCTGAGGAGAAGCCAATCCCAACACTACCATAGAGCCACCACCCTATGGAGGCTGCCTGCCTCTAACCATGCTATAAGCAGCAAAGGGCCAACCAAAGACTTTGGTAGCTCAGTTACCTATTAGGGTTTTGGGGTCCCAAAGATGCAAACACATATCTATATAAAGCAATTCTCACCCTCCATGATCACTTTGAGATTTATAAACTCATGTGACACATTAAGGTAAAACACAGTACCATTTGTACACCCACAAGGCAAAGCCTTGAACCTCCTCAAAGCCCAACCCCCAAGGTTGACCTGATCCTTTCTTCTTCCTGGAAGAGAGAGGGACATTTCAGTTGGACCTATGTCCTCACATATTTGTTTAGAAATGCAGGTGTTTGGGGCTGGAGAGATGGCTCAGTGGTTAAGAGCACTGACTGCTCTTCCAGAGGTCCCGAGTTCAATTCCCAGCAACCACATGGTGGCTCACAACCATCTGTAATAGAATGCAATGTCCTCTAATGATATGTCTGAAGACTGCCAGTGTACTCATATGCATAAAATAAATAAATCTTTAAAGCAATGCAGGTGTTGACCAAAACACATGCGATTTGCAGTTATTTCTCTATTCTTTCTACCAGAACATTATGTGCAGGAAACTATTTTATGTACTAAAATATAATTTATGCATAAGACTCACCTGTGCACTACAGTCATATTCTAATAGGAATATCAGATAAGAAATGAAAGACAAATGCTGTGGAGAGAAGAGAATCAGGGAAGAGGAGCAAGAAGCACCAGAGATGTGAGTTTTAGATTTACCTGGACCTGACTGCATAGCACAGGCTAGCTTCAAACTCCTACCTCCTGGCATCCTAAGTGCCGGCAACAGGCAGAGGGCACTGCACCTGAGTTTGCTAATTTATGTAGAGCGGCCAGAGCGTCTCAGAGAACTGAAGGATTTCAAAAGTAAGACCTAGAAACATCTGGGGAAAGCTGAATCTAGACCTGGGGAGAAGATATGGGGTTGGGGGGAAAGTACAGCCTGCGCACTGTGACAGGGCCACAAGGTCTGTGTGGCAGGGAAAAGATGCAGAAATCACAGAAAAGTTCTATGCTTTATAAAGCATAAGCAAAGTATGACTTAATAAAAGCTTGCTGATTACACGTCTCTTATTGGAACCTATCTGTCTCGATACTCGATAATCAAGTCTTTACTTTCATCCTAACTTAAAATCAAAAGGGGAAGGGACAGGGACTGGAGAGATGGCTCAGAGATTAAGAGCACATATTCTTGCTCTAGGCCTGGTCTGGGTTCCCAGTTTCCATGTGGTAGCTCCCAATCATCCATAACTCAAGTTCCAGAAAATCTGATGCCCTCTTCTGACCTCCACAGACACCAGGCATGCACTCAGTACACACACATACGCATACATACATACATACATATATACATACAGGCAAATCACTCAAACACTCAAATCTTTTTTAAAAAAAAATTAAAAGCAAACTAGGAAACTGGTTCAGTGGGCAAGCGTTACTTGCTGCACTTGCTAACTTGAACCCCACATTAAAAGCAGCAGCAGAAACAAGGGATCCTGTATCAACAGGACACAAAGCTGAGAGCTGACTCCTAAAAATTGCGCCACATCTCTGTGCCCCCAACTCGTACAAAGTAATCATTTTAATTAAAAAAAATATATATACGAAAAGAGCTGTGGTGATAACATTCTTTTTAAAAAAAATAAGAAAAAACAAACTGAGGGAGAACAAGTTGACTTTTTCCTCTCTCCAAGGTTACTTGTGGAATTGATGTCATTCCCAAGCCTGACTGAAGCCTACAGAGCTGCTTTACACAAAGAAATGAACAAGTCTTTAGTTCTTTTCGTTTCTAACACAATATATGTACACACAGATGCAGGTAGTAATATATTTGCATTCATTTGCACCCTTGTATCAACTGCCTCCCCACCCCCCGTTATTTGCACATATTTGTTGGTAGACATGGATGCTTCCCTTCAGAGGCTCAGCCAAGGAAGCAGACTGGCCTCACTTTCTCAGCCTCCTACCAGTGAGCTAACTTGTGGATCTGGGACCTGGAGACAGGTGGTGAGAACTAACACAGTCGAAAGCTTCACTGTAAAGGCATTTTAAATGGTGAAGTGAGTGAGAAGGTGGTACAAGCATCTTCTTGGAAGGCTCAAAGAATCCAAGGGTTTCTGTCCACGGTTGGTGCATGCCTATAATTAAAGTACTCAGGAGGCCAGGTCAGGGTTGAAACTTTGAGGCCAGACTGAGCTCACAGAGATATTGTCTCACTTAAGAAAAAGACAAAACAAAAAACCAAAACAACCACCACTTTAAAAATCACAAAGAACTATGGATTGCAAAATACAAAACATCTTTAGATACAAGGAGACTCCAAAAAGGGGGGAAAAAAAGCAGGGGGTTGTAGATGAGAACACAGAGGATCCTACAGACACCCAAAGGCAGTACATCAGCTATTTAAAAGCATAAAGGGCTGGAGCCCAGAGCTAATCAAAGTTGCCTTAGACCCGACAGGATTTCCATAGCATACATGGCATACACTCCCAGGGAACCCCTTCCTCTCCTGTTCTCCATGATGAGATACAGAAATAGCACTCCCTGACAGAATATGAGCTTCTGGTTCCAAGAAACGTAGTCACTATCCCATCTCTTCACGGTACCTGGTTGGGTAGCCAGAGAGGCTCTGTAGGAAAAGCCCCAGTTGTGCTCAATAAACCAGACTAGAAGAAAGACTGCAAGAAGTATCTAATGGTTCTAGAACAACTTGGCAGTCCTCAATGAGTCTGGGCTTCATCACTGTAGATGCCACACGCTAGGGTGTGTCTTTCCTCCAACTTGAAAATGCTTCAGCCCTGCTGACTAGGATGTTCTCCCAGGCATCGTGGGCAGCACAATGATCCCCAGTGAAGGAAGTAATAGGCATGGCAGTGGGACCCAGGCATGACATGGTAACCTAGTGACGCTAGGAGGCAGAAGAGAACAGCTCAAGCACCAAGCCTCTAAAGTAGGAGCATGCCATCGAGTGTCAACCCCAATCTCACCAAGGCTGTTCTTTTAAGTACCACTGGATGAGGTGTAGCGAGAATTCTGACCAGATGTTTCTCTTGACCAGGAGTTAGTATACTGGCCACTCTTTGCAGGAGAGGGTGAACAAGTAAGGGTCCTCCTACTGCATCACCTAAAGGCCCCTTCAGGGTGCCATAAGGCTACCCATACGGCTCCTCTAACTTCCTCCAACAGAAACGCCAACAGGAAGCAGGTGGCTAAGACAGGGATAGAAGTTGCAGAAGAGCTGACACGAACATTCATTCATTCATTCCTTCAGTCCAGGGTGGAAATGGGATGCAGAGCAAGGATGAATGAGAGCTGGGGTTTATGGCTCAGAGGTAGAGCACTTGCCTAGCATGCTCCAGGTCTCAGGTTCAGCACTGAAATAGTTAAAAAAAAAAAAAAAGCAATGGAGTCACAAAAGTAGGGATGTGAACAGAACCACTGACTTCTTCAGAGTATAATGTTCATTTGTTTGGAAATAGACTCGAGCAAAGGAAAGGAAAACTAACATTTATTGAAAGCCTATGGGTATGTACACGTGTATATATATATACACATGTATGTATGTGTATACACACACACACCCTTATATAATGTATGCCTGATCTTGTGCAAGGAGTTCTCATCTACAACACTCCATTTGATCCTCACACCAACCCTGTGAGGTAGGTATTATCCTCATGTTTGCCGAGTGAGGAATATGAGGCTTAGGTTAGGTAGTTTGTTCAAGGACCCAGAACTAGAAACCAGTGAGCTAGGACTGAGTCTTACGTCTCGAGTTCCATTCCATCCCATCCCTGTTCTTTCCTACCCACTCGAGCCCCTCCCCTTCCCATCCCTGTAGCCCATGGTTCCCCAAAAAGAAGCCTGCCCCATCCTTCTCTGGGAGAACGCAGTCAGCTGAGGATTAAGACATAAATAAAAAAATAAATAGCAGGGTCAAGTTCCCAGAGGTGAAGATGTCTTCCATACTCATGCTGTGTGAAGGCCCATTCACAGCTGCTGGGGTGAGGGGGCAGCACCAGCCCTAGTCGGAGGAAACTGGGACTACAGCTGCCAAAGGTTGCAATGGCTGTGCTAAGAAGGCCCCTTCTAGGCTGCGTGAGAACACGTGCAGTCATGGCACAGTCACCATCCTTCTCCATCTGTCCATTTCACCGGTGTTTGTGATCCAAGAGAGATTCAAAATCAGGAGAACATACAAGTTTGTGCTTCACATGTCCCAGGACTGTCATCTCCCCTGTCCTGCTGTCTCCAAGGCCCACAGATACCAGTTCCTGCCATTCAACAGAGACATCAGTGAGAACCACACACCCACACCCAGCCCTCCGTGCAGTGACCCAGAAGTTCCTTCCCACCTCAGCACAGGCTGTTTAATACTTCCCCAAGCCTCTCTCTGGCTCATAGGGGTCATACCTGAAGGAAAGAACAGGTTGTTCCCATGGTCACATCCAGAGTCACCTTGCCCAGGAGGAGCTGCACCTTCCCTGATTTTCGGATGAGCAGCTTGCCCACTTGACCCTCTGTCAGGTCAGCCAAGGTACAAGCATTCTCTGCTAGCCTGGCTTCCTGTGGAGAGAAGCAGCAGGTAGTTACTAGGCAACGGCTTTCATGAATGAATCCTATTCTCTTTCCCAGAGAGAACTGCAGCAGAGGCAGACTCTCTATCAAGGGCTGTGTCCTGGAGCTAGCAGCCTAGAGTTTCTCCAGAACTGGCTCTGGAGCGTACCCGGTCTTTCTCCTGCTTTATGACTACCGTCTGTCCATCCTCGCCCTGCACCTCTGTCTTGACAGGCTTGACATCCTGAGTGGGCGGCTGCCCAGGAAGGGTATCAGGCAGCTGAAGGAACAGCAGCTCTTCGTCCTTCATGAGGCTCAACTCCCTGAGCAGCTCTGCAACAGACACGTCCTTCGGGAGACCAGGGGTCTTCCTGGCTGCTCTTGGAGGGGCTTTCACCTTGGCCTCCTCTTCCTCATCCCGTGGCTCCTCTTTCACTGCACAAAGTGAGAAAAAGGAAAAGACATCAAGCACATAGCCCTACCCACGAAGCCAGCTCTCTGTTCCCAACCCGTGATATCCATGGGCTTCACTATTGCTCAGCCAAAAGTTATACAGAGGAACAAGAAAGAAATTCAAGAGTGTGTGACTTCTCTAAAACAGGACAGCTGAGGCCAGGCGTACCGGTACACAGACATGCGGACAGAGGTGGGAACTTATGACTTGATTCTGTGCTTGTACTTTTGAGTGGGAAGGGAACGGAGACACTCTGAGCAGCAGTCTTGGAGGTCACGTGAGGGCTTCTGGGGAGAGCTAGGAAAGAAGGGAAGTTGGCTGACACAGGTTACCTTTGACAGCAGGCGCATCCACTTCCATGTCTTCTTCCTTGGGGCCAGCCGAAAAAGGCTTAACATCTGGCTCTTCACTCTCCTCCTTAAAAAGCCACCCTGAATGAGCCAGTGGCAGCTGCACTGGCATGTTCCGTGTGTCATTCTTTAGCCCTGGGTCATCGATGAACTGCCAAAGAGTGGGGGTCACTTTAAATGTCAGCATGTGTGCCTATGTCACAGCCCATTTCAGGACTTCTGTCTCTCCTTTGCGTATGCGTATGCCACATACATTACATGGAGGCAAGAACGCTCTCCACTGAGCTACACCCCCAACCCCAACCCCAACCCCACTTTAGTGCTCCTGTATCCGAAAGCTTGAAGATGTTCCTGGCCTGGTTCCCTAAAAGCCCTCTTTAGCAGCTACAAAGAAAACGGTCCCCCAGACTGCTGGTACCTACATCATCCTTCTCCAGACTGCCGGTAC